GTTCGAGGCCAGCCTGGTCTACAAAGTGAGTTCCAGGACAGCCTCCAAAGCTACAAAGAAACCCTGTCTCAAAAAAACCAAAAAAAAAAAAAAAAAAAGAAAGCAAGTTGAAGAAGCCATGTGCAGCAAGCTGGTAAGCAACTCCCCTCCACAGCCTCTGCATCAGCTCCTGCCTTCAGGTTCCTGCCCTGCTTGGGTTCCTGTCCTGACTTCCTTCAGTGATGAACAGTGATGTGGAAGTGTAAGTCTAATAAACCCTTTCTTCCCAAACTTGCTTTTTGGTCATGGTGTTTTATTGCAGCAATAGAAAATCTAAGATACACCCCCAAACACATACACACATACACATGGACACACACACACGCACACATGCACATGGATGCACGTGTACATGCACACATACACATGGATACACATGTACACATAGGCACACATACACATGGATACACGTACATACACACACATGCACACATACACATGAACACACATGGACACGCGCACACACACGTGCACATAGATGCACATGAACACATACACGTGAATGCACATGAACACGCACATGGATGCACGTGTACACACATAGGTACACATGCTTGTGTGCTTGAACTCCATGGTAGAGAACAGTGGTTTGATGAGAGTGGACAGAGGGGACATGGGGACATCATTCCATATCAGAGTGCATGTTGCATGGGGCCTCTGGGGCCCCAGGGATCATCTCATCAGCTGGGCTTGTCCTCTCTTGGTCATGCTCCATTATCAACATCATGGTGAGTATGACAGGGCCCACCTGGCAGGGTGCTGGGATAGTGAATGGGGTAACACGTGACATGCCACACATTCCACCTGCTGCTGGGGTAGTCACTGAAACAAGCACAATAATAATGGCAGGACCGGCTGACCGTGCGCTGTGCAGAAGACACTCTACGGGGCAGGGGGTCTGTGTGGTTATCAGCACCAGGCACTGAGGGCAACAATATAAATGAGACCATTAAACCGCTGGATGCCCCTGAGTGATACACTGTCTGAGTCCAGCCCCTCTACACAGCCCAGGCTGGCCTCACACCTGCCATCCTTCTGCCTCAGCCGTGTGAGAAGCTGGGATCCTGGACCTGCACCACCAGAATTGGCTTCGATGCCTTTTTTTGTTTGTTTGTTTTGTTTTGTTTTTTGTTGTTGTTTTGTTTTGTTTTTTAAATTTCTGTGTCCACTTGTCTTTATCAAGCCCTGTGTTCTCTGGCCCAGTTCCTGCAAATGAACAACCAATATTTTTGGCCAACCCAATATGTTTTATTTCTCCATCCCATCTTCAGTCTGTCACCTAGCCACTAGGCTCTATGTCCACTTATCCATGCTCTCAGTCGCTAAGCCCCTCCCAGCCTGTCCACTCTGTCCATCACACGCTTGCCCGCTGACTCCCGTGTCTCCATTCAGTCAAGCATCCCACACTGGCCATTTCCCCCATTCACTCATTTGTCTTTCCAGCAGCACACCACTGAGCTTTAGACAGGACCGTCTGCCACACCTACCCATCCATCCATCCTTCCGACTACCCACACACCGTCCATCCGTCAACGCCCCCTATGTATTTATCTACCTGGAAGTCCACTCACCCTCTCCAGATAGCCATGCATCACGCCATTCATCCATCTATCCACCCACCCTTCTACCTACCCGCTCACCCACCCCTCCACCCACCCATCCTTGAACCTCCCCACCTACCAATGGCCTAGGGCCTTGCGCATTATAATGCTTTATGCACACTGCGCTCTGTGAGACCCCAGCATGGTCTCCCGGGTTCTCTTCCAGGGAAGAAATATGGGTGCCACCAGAAAGTCCCCACAGAGGGAGCCTCTTTGTAGCCAGGACTTTGAAAGCCATTGACTACCAGGGTGTGGGGCCAAAAGATGATGAAATGCAGGGACAACCAAGGAGCAGGCTTCCAGCAGACCAATTAAAAGTGAGCTAATCTCTCTTCCCTTCGAGGGAGCCAGGGAACTCTAAGACACACAAGAGGAGTCAGCAAAAGAAGAAACCAAAGCCAAGACCAAGGGCTAGCGAGCGAGCGGATGCGCCTGGTACAATACGTTCCCGAGAGCTCAGATTCCTGCCCTTCGGGCCTGGTGCCTCTCCCACCTCCTCGACTAGTGCTCCCTGGTGTCCACTTCCCTTCCGTCGCTCTTAACCCACCCTCCCAGCTCCCCTGTTTCTAGTCCTTCTCACTCTCTGTTCACAATAAGGAACACGCTCCCAGGATGAGACCTGGTGGGGGTAGTAATTCCCCTTCACCCACCCCCAGTACTTCCTGTTCATCCCCCAGTACTTCCTGTTCGCCCCCCAGTGCCTGACAACCTCACCTCCAGACCCAGAAGCGCCCTCTTCGGAATCACCCTGAGGCAGCTCAGGTAACTAACAGGCGCGCGTCCGTCTGACTGCATGACATGAAGTTGGGCACTGTGTTGAAATGGCAAGTGGTAACCACCACGTCACTCATGAAACACACCGCGATGCTGTGTTTATTAAAAAATAATGGAAGCATCAAAACCAAAGCCTGGGATAGATGCCAGAGTAGGCTTCTCTACCCGGAGACTACCGGCCTCTGCCATGAGCACTTCACCCCCTTTTGGACTCCTCACCCGCAGTGGGTCCACCAATGAGAAACTTGAGCAAAGACATGGGTAAGGCCTCAGTCAGCCTGCGCATGCTCATCTAACCAGAGAACACAGGTTCTGGGGCCAGAGTCTCAACCTCCACTGTCCAGGGCCAGTTTACTCTTCACAGTTCTACGAGATGTGGATGATACAGGTCCACTCCTGCCAGCATTGGAAAAACCAACGGATCTGCTAAAGAGTATTTGATGAACAGCAAATAACAGCAGAAGCATAGTGAGACGGCCCAGGGAGCACTGCAGATGGCCCCGAGGACGCCAGCCCACATCCTGCCACTCTGACTACAGCAGGAGTGGAGCACTGAGATCCTCCCCCTGTAGGCAGCTAATTTTCCTCCCTAAGCTGCCACCTTCTCTGGCCCTTACTCTTTCTTCAGACAGTCTTGTGTATCCCAAGCTGGCCTCAAACTCACTATGTAGCCAAGTATGACTTTTGAACCCCCGATGCTCCGGCCTCCACCTTGCTGGGATTACAGGCGTGCATCACCGTAACCCAATGTATACGCAGCTAGAGATGAACTTGGGACTCGGCGCTTGCAAGTCAACCGCTCTACCAACTGAGCTAAACTCCCAGCCTGTTATAAAGAAGGGAAGTCATGGAAAGGGGAAGGAATTTAAATGAGGGCACGCGTGAACACTGTCCTCCGAGGGCTGCTTCAGCAGCACCTCAGGGCCCAGCTGGAGCTGCCTGACATTAACCATCTTCCCCATACTTGATTCCCTCGATGGTGGCGGAGGAGGCGCGCCTTTAAAGGGAACTAGCCCTTTGCTGAGCGCAGGTGAGCGTCTTGGGGACAGTCCAGCCTGATTCAATTAGGATGGGGGCTCTAAGGACTTCCCTCTAGCACACCAGGGCTGGTGCCTGTGAGACCTTCAGCAGCTATTTCTGCTTCCCCTTCCAGCCGTGAGGAGGCAACTGGGGGTTGCCATGGAAACCAGCTCATCCTCCCACAGGAGGCTTGCCAGCTCCGATTTCCTGCAAAGATAAGAAGCAGGCAGCAGTGGGGGGTCACCCAAGCATGAAGATGGGTTTCCCTGGGGATGCCCAGACTCCTGCCAATCACACTGTCTATCCGGGAATCCCGAGGGTGCCTGGAGACCCGGGGCCAGGGAAGCCTCCAAGCCCTAGCTCTGCTCCAAGAGGTGAGCCCCTGGAACACACAGGTGCAGGGCCTCTTCTGTCTTTCCAGCTAAAGCTAAAAGGACCTCATCGCAGATATGCCCGTGTCTCATAAGCTGCACCACGTTTGGGTGTTCCTGACTGTCAGCTCTCCAATGCTAAACAGAAGCGTCCCGCTATCACCCCTGGAGCCCTAGGAATGAAGAACAAACTGCCCACCCAACATCTACTTCTAGGAGAGGTGTGTAGGCCTGCTGGCAAGAGCTGTGTGACCCTAGGCAAGTCACATAACCTCTCTGAGCTGGATTTCTCATCTGGAAAGCTGACATAACACCATATCTTCTCCAAGATGCTGTGAGGAATGGAAGTAGGTCTGCTGTGCCTGTCTCAGCGATTAAAGGCACTTTGGGATGCTGGGCAGTGGTGGCACACACTTTTGTCCCAGTACTCAGGAGGCAGAGGCCGGCGGATCTCTGTGAGTTCAAGGCCAGCCTTGTCTATAGTGAGTTCCAGGACAGCCAGAGCTGTTACACACAGAAACCCTGTCTCAAAAAAAAAAAACCGAAAAATAAAAATTAAAAAGAACAGTGACACCTGGGGAACATGCACGTTTGCAGTTACAGGGAGGTTTGCAAGCCACACTCCCTTTGAAGTCAGCCCTTTCTCCTAAAATTGATGCATACTCCATTGCAGTCCTGTTACCTACTGTCTGTGAATCAAGGACAGAGGACTTTATCCCTCAGAGTGCAGCCTGCGTCTTCCCAGGCATCCACGTGAAGAGAGGGAGGGCCATGTCTCTTTAATAACCTGGGAACAGAACTTAAAACACACTGACAAATCCTCACAGGTCTCCCCATGACCCACATCTGCCATGCTGGCCAAGGCCTGGGTTGCACGGGCTGCTAAAGGTGGGGACAGTGGCTGCTCTGGGAGTCCGGGGCATGGTGGTGGGGACAGTGGCTGCTCTGGGAGTCGGGGGCATGGTGGTGGGGACAGTGGCTGCTCTGGGAGTCGGGGGCATGGTGGTGGGGACAGTGGCTGCTCTGGGAGTCGGGGGCATGGTGGTGGGGACAGTGGCTGCTCTGGGAGTCGGGGGCATGGTGGTGGGGACAGTGGCTGCTCTGGGAGTCGGGGGCATGGTGGTGGGGACTGTGGGTGCCACAGGGCAAGAGGCACAGGTGAACCCGGAGCCAGACAGCCTGATTTAGAAGTGTCTTCACAGTGAGATATAGAGCTTTTATTGGCGTTTCCTGCTCTCTGTGTCCTCTGGGTCCCCTTCTCTGGACACAGCATACCAGAAGAACAACAGGAAGGCGGTAATGAAGGCACGGGAAGTCAGGAGGCCCCGGGTGAGCATAGTGTCTGCTCCACAGGTCACAGCCTGCCACGGTACCGGATGGGTACGTCCTCCTCTGGCTGCATCAAGCCGAAGCCATATCTGCTGAGGTCAAACTCAGGGACCTCTGTGTCCTCGCTGGCCAGCTCCAGGTCGAAGTGAGTCAGCATGAGGACCACAAATCTGCAGGGAGAGAGGGTGCTTCAGACTGTGTGCTTCTCTGGGCTTGGCAGAGCTTGGTAATGTGGGGACAGCCCAGAGCTGAGGGAGGCTGATGACTGTGTCTAGAGCAGTCATTTCTACAGCATAGCCCTGTCTCCCGCCTGCAGCATCACGTACAGATGATGGAGTGGCCAGAGGGAGGGCCCCAGCCGTGTGTCTCTAACCCCACACCCACGGTTCCTGGGTAGTCCTGAGTCCCAGGCGCATCACAGTGCTCTTCGTGACGAGACTGTCTCTTCCTTCCTCTCTACAAGCCTGCACCCCCGCTTTCCCTAAGCTCTTACAGTCAGCCCTGGCCAGGGCCACACTCACCAGGAATGTCTGTGAAATTAAAGCCTGCACCACCCCTCAAGACTTCTTATACGGGATGCAACTGTCACCAAGGGCTGCCTTTGCAAGGCAACACTCTCTACTGCCACCTTCTGGAGACACACAAAACTGTCACGTCTAGGATGCCATGAGTGCCTCCCTCAATGACACTTATGACTCACTACTGTCCGTGTGATCCTAATCGTCCCGTGCCTCATCACCGCCCCCCCACACCTCAATTCGGCGGCCTGAAGCCATGCTGAGCACACAGCAAGGACTTTCTCCTGTCACTGAAATAGAGCAGAGCAGGGGATGAGCTGAGCTCACACTGACTGAGGTCACAACAGATCCACGCGTTTGTTGAGGTGCCATGAGTTAGGCACCGTGCTAAACACACAGAACCCAGCAGCTCTTTTGTCTGTCCCTAAACCGGATGAAGCAGGGACTACAACCAGAGTTCTGTCACAGTTACTGGTTTGAGTGAGAGAGTCTGTCCTGATGTGATTGATACCTCAGGGCGCAAACACGTGCAGAGGGCAAACCTCCCCTTTGCTCATATGCTGTTTCATGTTCCAGACACAGAATGCAGAGCCTGCACTAGCTAAGCATACATACATGTACACACGTGAGCATATACTGACCATCCTGTTCATCAGATTTCGTACCTTTAAAAAAAAGTCATATTTTTGATTGTGTGTGTATGTGGTGGTGGTGGGGGATATGTGCACATGAGTGCAGTACCCAAAGAGGCCAGAAGAGGGCATCAGACCACCCTAGAGCAAGAGTTATGGGCGGTTGTGAGCTGCCCAACTAGGGTATTGGGAACCAAACTCAGGTCTTCTACAATAGTTTAATCACTCTTAACTGCTGAGCCAGCTCTCCACTCCTGCACATTCCTTACGCAAGTGTAAACCGCACGTCCACCTTCCATTTGGCTCTAATTGTCCCTGTGTGTCACTGGTGACATTTTCAGATGCTGGACTTCAGTCTCCCTTTGCCTATAAGCTATGGTTTTATTTTTTTTAGGTTTGCTTTGTTTTGCGAGGCTGAGGATGAAACCTCATTCCTCGTGAGTGCTAGGCAAGTGCCTCATATTGAGATCCAGCCTCAAGCATCTTGTTATTCTTAATTTTGAGATAAGAGCTCACTAAGCAGACGAAGCAGGCTCTGAACTCACCATCCTCCTGCTCAGCCTGCACCCTAGCTGGCATTCTAGGCCTGTCCTCACAAGACTGACACCTGCTGTTTTCACAGCCTGATCATACATGACAAGGTGGCTTTGGGGAAGGCATGTTAAATATCAGGGCAGAACTGACTCCGCCATTATTTCCACTTCACTGTTGAGAAAAGTGAGATCCAAAGGTTAACGTGACTTACTGTCCCCTGGCATGGCGCCCGCATGGTAATGACATGCGGAATACAGATACTAGCTACCAATTCTCAAAGCCATGATGAGTCAGATGGGGGTGGGTGGGTACATAGAAATCTCCATTCTGATCCATCTTGGAGCTATAATCAGTACCCACATTGTATAGCTGAGGAGACAGGCTCAGGTTACAGGAGGAACAATGGGCAGATAGCACAGTCCCTGGTCCAGGCAGTCTGCAATCCTGGCCACAGAGACTCAGCGGAATCCCAGGGGCAGAACATAGGAGCTTCTCGGCTCTCTCAGGAGTTATGACAGCCAAGGGGGGACCCCGAAGTTCAACCAGCTTCTGCCACAAAGGTCAGAACCTGCTGCAGCAGCCACAGATGGTCAGCCATGGCCAGCTGGACTCATCAGCCAGCGTCTGGTGTTCCCACGCCATCCTCAGAGGGAGAACCCTTCTGCCAGGTCTGATCATTGTGTGAGAAGTCAGAGATGTGGCTTTTTTTCCCCAAGAACTCTTCTGATTTTAAAGAGCCCACATTTTAAAAACACAAACAGATTTGCGGACAGGAGTTGATTCTCTGCCAGTTTGGAATCTAATCCTGTAACTACTAGCCTGAGGCCATCAGTCAGAGCAGTAGAGGCATCAGGTGTCACTGGACCTTGGCTACATCCTGGGCCATATCCAAGCCCTGTCCTGGCCACACCCCACCAATGGGCCCCTTCCCTGCTGGGCCATGCATCGCTGCCCCACGCCCTGCCCCCCACTCACTGTTTGATGCTGCTGATGGCATAGCCCTTCCCCAAACACTGATTGTGCCCTGCTCCCCATGGCATGCTGTAATTCTTCAGCCGCTTCCCATCTTTGTAAAAATCTTTCTTCTCTGACCCATCTGGGTTCAAGAATCGGTTGTATTTAAAGACCTGTAACAAGAAGGGAAGGTGTGACGTCACCCCACACAAGCCTGCGCCAGGATGAAGGGCTGGGGACCTCGCATCGTAACTGTCATAACTGAGCATAAAGGGTAGCACTGGAGGGCCTGGTTTTAAGGACTGAGGAGAGGACAACTCCCAGGCTGCAGAGGAAGTGAAGATCACAGCAGGCTGCCACTCAGGACCAGCTGATCACACATTCTCCCCACAACCACAGGTCCTGCCCTGCTGCTGACCTCAGGCTCTGTGTAGATCTCTGGGTCCTTCTGGGGACTCAGGAAAGGAAAGAGGAGGAGGCGGTCACCGCGTCGAAGAGAGAATTCCCTCCCATCTGCCATGGGCAAGGCCAGGTCTGCCATGACTTCACGAGTGATGAAGGGCGCCGCTGTGAGCCTGAGGGTCTCATTTAGCACGCTGTCTGCAAGGGCAAGGCAGGACGGGTTAATAAGCTGCCCTCTCAGCCGCTGGACAAACAGAGCAGTGGCCGGAGGGTGTATACCCTGCACATGATCGCACAAGGTGGGAAAAGCCAGATGACAAAGTGTGCACTGCATGGTCCCTGCGAGACCCTTGGACATGAGGGGACATGGGGGCCACAGGGATATCAGACAGCTGAGGGGGGAGAGCTTAGGACCTCAGTGTCTGCTTCTACCTGCATTGTATATTCCATTCTAGAAATAGTTCCATGACCTTCCTCTAGGGACCACACCCCTGTTTCCAGAAGTTGGACAGTTGATCTACTCCTAGCTGGTGGATTTGAGAGCTTCCATTACCCAAACAGCCCACCCCTCTGAGCCCTGTGTTTGGCTCTGGGTGGGCATAAAACCCAAAAAGCCAATGAACGTTAGATAGGAATGTTGGATGAGAGGCCCACCTCCAGCTGCTGACAGCTGTCTAGCCTCCGTAGACCAGAGGCACCCCAGGAGAGAATGAGACTGCAGGGTAGAGAGAGAGTCAGCCCTGGCAACACTGTCCAAGCACCTGGGCCCACCTGAGTTTGACACCAGAAACCTCAAAACTGGCGGTGGCATGAATCGGATTGAGCATCTCCCGTTACAGCTACTTCAGGTTCTCTGCCACTTAACACAAAAGATCCCCTGAGAGAGAGCAGCATGGAGGACACTGAGGGACCCTTGGAGCGACCCAGGTGAGCAGGTTTGCCCGTCCTACCTAGCACAGGCATGCTGTCAAGAGTCTTCTGTGGGAGGGTGGTCATCTGTGAAGCAGGCAGCTCTGCTTGCCAGACAATGCGCTTCAGCTCTTCCCGCACAGCCTCAAGGGCCTCAGGATTCTTGAGGAGGAAGAGAAGGAGCCAGAAGGCTGTGGGACCCATATTCCCCTGCAATGAGAAGCCCATCACTCACCAAAGGATCAAGAAGACTCCTCAGGCTGGGCCACCGGGCAGCCCTCAGCGTGCCTGGTTCCCATGCTGGCCAAGCACCTAGGCATCACCAGTAACTTCAAACTGTGGCCAAAAATCTGCTTGGAGCTTTGTTTGGTTGAGCCTGGTACCTACCTGAAGGCCACTCCTGCCATCCTGACCTCGAGTGAAGCCCCTGGTCTGGGGTCACCTGGGGAAGCCTCTGTAACTTTACCAGAACAAGTGTACAAGAGGAGCAAGCCCACAGGGCAGAATGTCTGAGGGTGACCGCACCTGGGCCTTCGTCTCCACAGAAGAGGCAGAGTACATCTCCCTGCTCCTGAACTTGAGCTCAGCCAGGGACTTGCTTCGACCAACAACCAGCATGAAGTGGAATTAAAGAAGAGTAGATCTGAGCCCTGGCCTTCAGAGACCTTGTTTGTGCCCCCCCACCCCGACTGCACCTTTGGATCCAGGGTGAGAGACACACAGGGCCCAGCTAAATTCCCCGGGCTGGACCAGTTTAGACCAGCCAGATCCACAGACCTGTGAGCTCATGTCTATCAACACAGGCTGCTGGGTTTAACTAGCTGATAACAATAGCTATTCATAGTTTAGAAAGCAAAGTTTCCTCACACGCTTCTTGTGTGGCAGATAATTCTCTTGAAGGATGAACAGAGGAGCAGTTAAAAGGCTGTTCTTTTTTTTTTTTTTAACAAAAATTCTTTGAAACTTCCCAAAAGATAAACTAGGAAAATCGATGAAATGGTGTGCTCCAAGAATGGGCCAGACTTTTCTTAAACATCTTCACCCAGCTTCACCCAGCACCTTCAAATGATGCTGACAGTGGGTCCCCAGCAACCCCAGCCTGCAGGGAGGTTTTCTCTGTCCTTACAGTGACCGTAGTCACAGACTCAAGCATCATCCTTAGACATCATCTTTCCCAATAATGTCTTACAGACACCATTGCACTGGGCAGACGACATGAATTGCAGCCCTAATACATCACTCCAAATCGGAAACAAGCTGATACCAGTGGCTCCTCATGGCCTACCATGTGGTAAGTTGTTTAAAAAAAAGATCCCGGTTCCTTTGGGTCTGAAAGACAGATGGGAGCAGGCAGGCTGCAAGGTGTGGGGCCGGGCTCGTGGGAGCCATGTGAGGGAACAGGACTGTCTGCAGGGCACACAGGACCCAGCCCTGAGGTCACCTGGGAGAGAGGCTTGGGGACTGGGAAGCTGAGGTGGCAGGACCGACTTCCTGTTAGGGGGCGGTGCACATGCAGGGGTTCACAGGTGGAGGCCAGGGGACAACCTTGCTGTCACTCCCCAGGCACTGCACACCGTGCTAAAACAGGGTCTCCCACGGCCTGGAACTTGACAAGTCGGCTAGGCTAGCGAGCAAGCCTGGCTGTCCCATCACCCCAGTGCTGTGACCACAGACGCGCTCCTTCCTGCACATCTGCCTTATTTTTCTTTGTAACATGGGTCCTGGGAATGCTACTCAGAGTTTCATGTTTGCAGGGTTAGCATGTCCCCAGACAGACAGACTTTCTTTGAATGCACATACCCATTCAACCTGCTTGAATCTCTTTTGTTGTTCTTTTAATTTTTCTTTTCTTTGTTAGGCTTATACTATAATGACATCATTTCTTCCCTCAGAACCTGCCTTCTCATACGCTCTTTGCTCTTTTTCAAATTCGTGCCCCCCCCCCCCGTTGTTTTGTTTTTCAAGACAGGTTCTCTCTAGGTAGCTCTGGCTGACTTAGAACTTGATAAGTAGACCAGGCTGGCCTTGAACCCATAGATGCACCTGTCTCTACTCTCAGAGTGCTGGCATTAAAGGTGTGTGCCATCACACCTGGTCCCAATTGAATTTCTTCTTCCCTCCCTCCCTCCCTCCCTCCCTCCTTCCCTCCCTTCCTCCCTCTCTTTCTGAGACCAGGTTTCTCTGTGTAACAGCCCTAGCTGTCCTGGAACTTGCTCTAGTAGACCAGGCTAGTCTTGAACTCACAGAGATCCGCCTGCCTCTGCCTCCCGAGTGCTGGTATTAAAGGTGTGCACCACCACTGGCCAGCTCCAATTGGGTTTCTTACTGGATGTACTACAGGAGTGTCCTACATGGTTTTCATGGTGGTCTACCATGTCGTGAGGATTGTCTGTATTATCATATAAAATCCAATGGAAAGCTGGATAAAGACAAATGGATGGCCTTAGCAGCCTTCTGCCAACTGCACAGTGTGTGTGTGTGTGTGTGTGTGTGTGCGCGCACACACACACATATGTGCACCCTGAATTTCTCCCGTGGGGTCTAGCCACAGTGAGCTTATGAAGGACTTTCTGATCTAACCTTGTCTTGTGGTCAGGCTGAAGGAGGATGTGGAAAGGTGCCTGGGCTGAGGGGGTGAAGCCAGTCAGCTCCCTGTCTCCACGGTCCCCAGGGCAGTGGCTGCCCGAGGCCTCTAGGGGCACCCACTTCACTTGAAATGAAGGTCCCCCCCAGCCGTGAGGTCTGGGCTCTGTGACACTTGAAATGAAGGTCCCCCCCAGCCGTGAGGTCTGGGCTCTGTGACACTTGAAATGAAGGTCCCCCCCAGCCGTGAGGTCTGGGCTCTGTGACACTTGAAATGAAGGTCCCCCCCAGCCGTGAGGTCTGGGCTCTGTGACACTTGAAATGAAGGTCCCCCCCAGCCGTGAGGTCGGGGCTCTGTGACACTTGCTATACACCATCCCCATGCCGGCTTCACGGCCTTTTCACCTATTCTCTCTGCGAGGGACTAGCATTCCAGACACACCCACGGCGGCTCACCCTTCACGCCAAGTCTCTGCTGGGATGTCACCCTCTCTACTTCTCTCTCTAGTGACCTCACAGACGCCTGTGCTCTTCCCCGCCAGAGGCTTGTTCTGCAGATGAGAACTTTCATCTGCCCTGCCCACTACTCTATACCCACTTCCTGGAATGAGGCCATGCACACGTGGAGTCTGATGTATTCCTGCTGCTGATGTTTCATTTGGTTGGGTTTTGGAAACAAGGTCTCATGTATCCCAGGCTAGCCTCAAATTCACTGTGTAGAAGAGGGTAACCTTGAACTTGCGATCCTCCCGCCTCAACCTCCCAAGTGCCAGGATGGCAGGTGTGAGCTGTAGGACTCAGAGTCCTCCAGACTCCTCTGCTGGGAGGATCTATCCCATTCTTAGCCCTGCTGGAGGCCATTCCCTGGGATCTGGCTCTCAAGTGCCTGACCAGCTTCCTACAGAGGTCATTTCCACAGGGGGCTCTGAGGACACTTTGGAGCACCCTGTCCTTTTGGCCCATAAATATGTTATCAGGCATGCATAGGGCCAACTGCTGATTAAGCCCTGGCTGCCTCTGCCAGCCATTGCCTGCAGTTAATAGCTCCGAGGACAACTAAAAATAAGTTGCCAGTCGATGGAGAGGAATCACCCAGGGACATCAGCCCGTCTGACAGTCGCTGCCAAGTGGGGCCCAGAGAATGCAAGGGGCTGGGGGTGGGGGAGCAGTGACCAGGCCTCAGACTCACAGCATCCAAGGAGCTGCTCCTTCCTCCCATGTCAACACTGGTCCCATGCCCAGCATCACTGATCGCTGCCTTAGTTCCCTGCGTCTAGCTGATTCTCCTGTTGTGGGATATTTTCATTGTGATCCGACAAATACAGCCTGCTTGGAGTCAGAGGGCAGAGTCAGCCACTAGCCGACCATAGAGGTTTGGAGACTGTAGAGAGAGGACAGGAAGTGGTAAGGCGGGGCTGAGACAGGATCTTGGCAGAAGAGGTAGGCGGGACTGTGGCTGCTCCTCTGCTTCTCTGATCTTTCATGTTTTTACCCTGATTTCTGACTCGTGGTTTTTATTGATGAGATTGATTGCATTTATGCTCCGTTCTCCAATATCTCAGTGGCCAGCATAACCTCCTCACTGGTCACCTGTTCCTGCCCTTAAGAGGAACCTTAAGATCTCAGAAATCAAGGCTGGAGGGATGGCTCAAAGGTTAAGAGCACTCTCTGTTCCTTCAGAGGGCCTGGGTTCAATTCCCAGCACCTACATGGCACTTACAACCATCTGTTACCCCAGTTCCAGGGGATCTGCTGCCCTCTACTGGCCTCCCAGGCACCAGGCTCGGGACTCTTCCTAGGCCCCCACCTCTCCCAGGGAAGGCTCAACACCATCACTCTTTGGTGTGTGCTAACTCGCCTGGCTTCAGTCACGCTCAACTCCTCACTGTTGCCCCTGGCAGGCTCCAACACTTGGCACTTGCTGTCTCCCCTGCCTGAAGTATCCCCAAGTTCCCAGATCCCTGACCAGTTTTCTTGACATCTAAAAAGAGCTCAACTGTCTCTACTGGAGAGGTCTCCCTGAGCCTCTAGCTGTGACTCCCAGAACAGCTACAACCCCAGCCCTGCTTCCCACCACACATCCTTCTCTCCAGTCATTGAATGTGTTTCCTGGATCTCAGCTCCCTACCTCAGCCCGTCTGAAATGCAAGCGTTCCCAGAAAGTCTGCACACTTCAAAACAAAACCCACCAAGGTCACGGGGAACAGTGAAAAGAAGAGAACACCAGAAGAATGGGAACCAAAGACGCGGAATGTCTGGGGGCCATGCAGGATGCTGGCGCAGAGGCCTGGGCAAGGATGCGCCTTTGGTGGTTCCAGCAGCTTCTGTCAGCCTGAGATGTGGAATGGCCTGGGAGAGGGCCTCCGCCATGCCTGTGAGGATAACCCCGCCTTAACTGAGACAGGAACCACTCCTTGGGCGGCTGCCCTCCAGGGCTGGGTCCTGCCCTGGGTAAGGGGACAGAGTTGCTGAGCATAGATGATATTCACTCTTCTTTGCTTTTTGACTACAAGTGCACTGTGACTGGTTGTGGCTTCCCCACAGCGATGGAGTGTGTCCTGGAACTGGGATTAAAACACACCCTTCCTCCCCGAAATGGCTTTGGTCGGAGAGTCTCATCTAGAGTGGGAAAGTAGCGAAGGCAGAGGCACCGCTGGATGACTGTGAGGCACAGCTAGGCCCCATCCCAGGACTGGGCTAAGCCTCCTAGTTTGGCATCAGACTGTGGCCATGTGGGAGAACATCCTTGCTTCTGGGAGACCTTCTGACGTGAGCAGAGGGAAAGAGCCGGGCTATCTGCGACTTAGCCACAAGTGGGACAAAGTCACGGCAGGCCAGAGGGAACGAGAGGAACTGAGGTGTGTGAGAGGGGCTGGGACCCAAGGCGGTGTGTACAGGAGTTTGTTAAACTGTTGTGAGCTTTCCAGGGGGCTGGAGGTAAAGCCTTTCCAGGATGCACAAGCCCTCCCCCCACCCCCGCCCCCGCCCTCGCCCCCAGCACGTATAACCAGGCATGGTGGCATGTATCTACAGTTGCAGCATTCAGGAGGTGACAGAAGGAGGGTCATATGTTCAAGGTCATCCTTGGTTACATAGCAAGTTTGAGGCCAGCCCAGGCTGCCTGAGACCCACTTTCCTATCAGCCTGTCATTTTCCCATACGGTAAATAAGCAACGCCAATCATATGGACCACCCGGCTCCACAGCTGCTGGACAGGACGAAGAGTGAAGGTGGGAGGGGCCAGCAGGCTATGAAGGTGGGAGGGGCCAGCAGGCTATGAAGGTGGGAGGGGCCAGCAGGCTATGAAGGTGGGAGGGGCCAGCAGGCTATGAAGGTGGGAGGGGCCAGCAGGCTATGAAGGTGGGAGGGGCCAGCAGGCTATATGTGCTCACGCCCTCATTTGCCGACACCAGCACACACAGTGAGTCCCACACCTACGCACCCATGCCCACCTGTGTGGCCCAGAGCTGCAGCACCAGTGCCCGGGCTTGCATCTCCTCCGACACCCCCATCTCCTCCAGGTGCCTCACGTAGCTCTCCAGCCAGCTGCTCCTGTCGGCCCTGGTGGCCAGCCGGGCTGGGGACAGCAATTTCCACAGGCGGCCTTTGACACTGCATGCACGGTCTTTATCCCCTGCGGGGGCAGAACACAGAAGAGGAATGTTTTAGAATCACCTCCAGGCCAGGGTCGCCCAGCCTCAGCCTTTCACAATGCCGCCAAGTGTTCAAAGTTTGAGGTGAAGCTCTGTGAGTCACCTTGCCTAGAATCCATGTCACTTAGCAGAAAGGCATAAGGCCCTGTCCCTGCAAGAGAGAACTCTCCATAGCACGAAGTCAACCGAGATTTGATAGATGTGTGGGGCTCTTTGAGGCCACATAGGAGGACTACACTCTAGGCAATAGCCTCCCTCCCTGGGACCTAACCCAGAGCAAGGCCAGATGATGCATGCAAGACCAAGGGTTCAGCATACCAGAAAGCCTCATTGGCCATTGGTAGGGACACCAATCTGGGGTCTCCACTCAACTTCCTCTAGAACAGACAGGTAAGGTCACCAAAGGAAGAGACCCTGAGGAGACCATGTAGACCTGGAAAACGGGGGGGGGGAGGACACAACACTTCCAGGCCGCTGCAACCCACCCTCCGGCATGGCAGAGTCAGTGACTCCACCTAGGCAGACTCTAAAGAAGCCAATGACCCAGGTGCTCTTGTAGAAACCCGTGTGTGTGTGTGTGTGTGTGTGTGTGTGTGTGTGTGTGTCCGTCTGTCTGTCTGTAGTTCCTGGTGCAGGGATAGAACTCAGGCCCTTGCACATACTGAGTTGCACCCTAGCCTCCTCCTCACATTCATAACATTGGCCTTGAAGCCAGCACAGGTCATAAATAAACAGCCAGAATATATGGAGGTTATCTTTGTCTTGAGGACCCCAGCCTAGACATGAAGCGGTGTAGGAGAGGACCTCGGTCTACAGAGGTGGCCCACCAGGGCAGTGTGCTTGAAGCAAAGCCAGGCGTCCAGGGTCTATGCAGAACAGCACCACGGGTCTGCGAGCTACAAGGCAAAGCTGAGCTGCTGGCATGAAAGTTAGCCTGTCCCATCTGATACATTCCCACAGTGGTTGCCCATCTATACCAGGGTGATATTGCCTGGCAACACCTTTGGGGGAACTAGTCCCATCGCTGTACCCCACCTCATAACATACACACAAACACGAGGTTCACTGGTCCCCAAAGTTACCCCTGGGATTGCTAGAAGCTCTCTCACTGCATGTCAGGTGACCTGCCCAATAGACGGAGACCTGGCAGCCTCCAGTCCCAGGAGCTTGTGAGGATGGAATGCGTGGCTAAGCACAGGCTTGTGAGTGTGAACATGTTTAGGGGGCATGCGTGATAGGCTTACTAGTGTGCATGTGTTGAGGGGCATGCATGCTTGCACAGGTTTATGTGTATGCATGTGTTGAGGGGCATGCATGCATGCATAAGCTTATTAGTGTGCACATGTTGAGGGGACATGTGTGCATGTATATATGGGAGCTAAAGCTCAGTATCGGTCACTCTCCACCTTCTTTTAGAGACACTGCATTGTGTCACTTAGCCTGGGGCTTGTGGATTTGGTATACTGACTGGCCAGTAAGTACCAAGGGATCTCACCAAAAAAGCTGCCAACTGACTTCAAAAGCAGTAACCCAGTGCTGGGATGATAGATGCTGCCATATCCCGCTTTTACGTGGGCTCTAGGATCGGAACTCAGGTCCTCAAGTCTGTGTGGTCAGCACTGTGTGGACTGAACCATCTCCCAGCCTGGTATTGCTGTTTTTGAAGTCAGTTGGCAACATTTTCAGACAATGGGCTCAACTTCTCCATACTATTTAGGGTGGCGCAACATTCTAGATTTAAAGCAGAGAGCCCCTAGGCTCAGCTGAAGCACAAACTTTCCTGTGTCTCCCACTGTGTTGGGTTCTGAGCTCCCAACATCCTGAGAACCCAGGATCCAGTCAGGCTGACTGTGTGAATCCCCAGGTGAGATCAGCATGGGGGGAGTTTTTAAAAAATTACCAAGGGACATAGGAGGTGACAACATCACTCCCACCGATGCTCTGGGTATCTCCAAAGTCCCTAAAGCCCAACCTTACAATTTCAGTCTCTCGTGTGCGGTCAGTGTGTGTGTGTGTGTGTGTGTGTGTGTGTGTGTGTGTGTGTGTGTGCACATGTATATGCTGGTGCACTTATATCTGTGTGCATTTGGAAACCAGAGATTGACGTTGGGAGTCTTCCTCTAGAGCAGTGGTTCTCAGCCTTCCTAATGCTGCTTTAATACAGTTCCTCATGTTGTGGTGACCCCCAACAATACAATCGCATGTTGCCATTTCATAACTGTAATTTTGCTAGCTATGAATGGTAACGTAAATGTCTATGTTTCCCAGTGGTCGTAAGCAGCCCCTGTGAAAGAGTCGTTTGGCCCAAAGGGGCCAGGACCCACAGGTTGAAAACCACTTTCCTATTGTTTTCCACCGTACTTTTTGAGACAGGGTCCTCACTAAACCATGCTGGCTGGCCAGGGAGCCCCCAAAGGATCCTACAGGATCCAGCCCACTCTGCAGTGCTGGGGTTAGAGTATACGCCACCACACCGAACCTTTACTTAGGTGCTGGGGTCCGAATCCCGTCCTCATCCTCTGACATCATGCACTTCATCCACTGAGCTGCCTTTCCAGCTCTGAGTGTTTGTAACAACTAAAAAGCACCTCAGGATGCTTGGCCCTGGCCGTCCCTGTGCCCAGTTCTGAGAGCAGAGGAGGTGACCCAGAGATGGGAGACACAGAAGCCTGTGTCGTGTGGTCTGACTGAGGCCTGGGTCATCGCTGGGTCCCAGTCACTTCCTTATCCACAGGGCGGGGCTTGTCTGCTCAAGTGTCTTCCCCGGACACTGCTGTGGGCCCTAGGGATCTGGGAAGCAAAGCCCCTTTTCATTAAAAAAAATTTCAAATAGAACATACACACGCTCATTTGTTACTGAACAAGACTCCTAAGACTAGAGGTCCTGGAGGGTCAACTTTCCTTTTACATGTATGCTTTTGTCAACATGAATACATTTATATCTCACTTAAAAAGGTGAGAACTTCACATATATACAGAGAACACTGGGAGAAAGCGAACTAGGTAGGGGAACACACCTGTGTTGGTATTCTGGTAGGCTTTGCCCAGCTGGTCCTCACAAGGTCCACGAACTGCTTGACTCCACCTGAGGGCAACTGACCAACACCGCCCCCTGGTGCTCACACTGGGAAGTGTAGCCTTTCATGGATGTGTCCTGTGCATCACCAGGCTCCCATAGAGGGAGGGACAATGAAGAAACAGGCAACGGGTACCGGGATGGGACACATGTTTAACACACCGGATTTTGCAATCAGACAAAGCGTGCATGTTACCTACTCTGTCACCTACCGGCTGCATCTATGACAAATGACTTCATCTGTGTGAGCCTCGGTTTTATTGTCTGCAAAGGGGTCTCTGTGATAGCAGCCGGCAGGGACTGCATTAGACAGTGAACAATCTCTATAAAGATGACTGTGTGGACAGCTCCCAGAAAAGGCGAGCGAAGGCCAGCAAAGCCAGACGATGCCTCAGCATGGTAGGTGGGAGACGAACAGAACGCCGAGGCCCTTTTCTGCCCTCCAGGTTGGCAAGAATTTGAAGACCAATGACTGCATCCTGACAGTGCTGTGACCAGAGGCGAGTGACAACAGAAAGCTACCAGCGTCTACCCAGCAGACTGGCAAACCAACAGAAAGACGGGTGGTGGGCTAGGGCATGGCAGACGCTTCATCTTCTGGGCAGCTGTGTGGATTGCTCCATGGCTGTGCACACCTGTAATCCTAGCTCTCGGGAGGCTGAAGTAGAAGGATCCTAAATTTAAGACTAGCCTGGTCTACTGAGAGATCCTGTTTCAAAAAAACAAAATGAAGCAAAAAGAAAACATATTTTAAAAAAAATACTAAGATGTGCCAGGTGGTGGTGCACGCCTTTAATCCCAGCACCGGAGGCAGAGGCAGGCGGATCTCTGTGAGTTTGAGGCCAGCCTGGTCTACAGAACTAGTTCCAGGACAGCCAGGACTAGGCAGAGAAACCCTGCCTCAAAAAACAAAAAACAAACAAACAAACAAAAAACTAAGCTGTAGCTCAGATGTGAGCACACTGAGCCTGGTTGACACTCAGAACAAAGTCCTCGGTAAGCAATGCTGCTACAACCTTGGCCAACCCTAACTGCTACCTTCCAAGATGGCTCCATCCTTCCTAACTGACACAAGGAGATCCCAGAGACATGGGGAGGTGGAGCCCACAGTCTGCCTTCTCCCCTCCCTTCTGCTGTGCTGTGCCTCCAGAGCAGGGGACAGGGAGAGCGGCTCCTCCCTAAGCCGCCAGCAGAGCAGACGGGGGGGGGGGCTCTTTCCGACCTCCTCATGGCTCCCATCAAATGTGCACTTGGCCTGCTCTCCTCAAGAGTTCTGTATCCAAATGGACCACCGTGGTTCAGGTATGAAATGTGTCCCCAACAGGCTCATGTACTGATGTTTGGTCCCCGTCTGGTGGCATTATGGAGAGAGAGCTAGAGTGTGAGGAGGACACAGCTTCACGGATGGGGTTTCCTGCTAGAAAGTGGGCGTGGGGACCTGGAGACAGTAGGCCATGGGATGTGTCTTTGAAGAGTGTGCCTCTTCCCCAAGACCAGCTCTCTCCACTTCCTGGCAGCCATGAAGCAAGCCGCCTCCTTCTGACTCTGTCATGTTCAGTCTCACCATAGGCCAACAGCAATGGAGCCCGGTGGCTGTGGATTGAAACCTTTGAAACCAAGAGCCAACATATATCTTTCTGTCTTTAAAGCGTTTTCCTTGGATAAATTTATCACAGCAGGGTTTTTACTGCTTCTTTTAAATTAATTAATCAATTTTAATTTTTGGTTGCTTGAGACAGGATGACAACTGCTCGCCTCTGCCTTCTCAGTGCTGGGACTAAAGACATGCGCCCCCAAGTCTGGCTCTTGTTGCTTCTTGAGGGAAATACCGTCTGATCTGTGCATGGGGCCTGTAGTGGTTTGAAAGAAAATGACTCCCAAAGGGAGTGGCACTATTAGGAGGTGCGGCCCTGTTGGAGTGGGTGTGGTCTTGTTGGAGGCAGGTTAAGGATCTCGTGTATGCTCAAGCCACACCCAGTGAGACAGACCACTTCCTGTTATCTTTGCGTCAAGATGTAGGAGTCTCAGCTACTTCTCCATCACTACGGCTCCCTGTGTGTTGCCATGGCCACCATGATGATAACAGACTAACCCTCTGAAAATGCAAGCCACCCCAATTTTTTCCCTCATCAGAGCTTCTATGGCCATGGTGCCTACCCGCTGACAAGGATCCTCGAGCCAGTTTGGGGAGCAACAGATCCAGCTGGCGGAAGGTGTGGAAGACGTCAGCCGAGTGGACACGGTCCTGGGCTTGGCTTTCACGGGTGCGTGGCAAGGCCTCAACTCCGTAGAGGGTCAGGTAGCCGGCTCTGGGGGTGACAGCAAGAGGTCAGGCTCTTATCTTTAGTTCCGGCCCTGCCTCAGGCTCATGGCTTAGTTCCTGCCCTAAGTGTTGAACTGTGACCTGGAAATGTAAGATAAAACAGACCCTTCCTTCCCCAGGTTTGCTTGGAGTCAGAGTCCCTTACCACACAGCAGAATAAAACAGAACACCCAGTCACGGGCCTCCAGAAGAGGGCTTTGCAAGCAGGAAGATGGGGGAAACCGGAATGAGGGAGGGTGTAGCAGAGATAGCCTAGGCCCCACCCTGCACCTCACCCACACAGGGCCTGCAATGGATGCTGGGTCGGGGTGCGGGGTAGGTTGATGGAGAAACACGTGAGAGGGTGGGTGGGGGACACACAGGGACGGATGAGTGGGTGGGTGGACGCCCTGAGGGATGACTGGATGGGCGGACGGGTGAATGGGTGAGTGAATGGATAGATGTGTGTGGTACAGTGACCAGAAAGACGGGTAGATAAACAGAGCGCACTCCTGAGAACTCCGGTGAAAGGTTATCACAACTCTGCCTGGCAAGAGCCATCCAGGCCACAATCACATCCCCTGTCCTGTGCACCCGCCTTTCCAGGCCAGGCTAGTGTCTGTGTCCCTGGAGGCAAGCCCTCAGGGTAGGGGACTCACACCTTCTCTTTCCTCTAGGCTAACAAGAAGTCCACTTCCCTCTAGGAACAGCGAGGGGTCAGAGACCAAGCTCAACCTTCCCCTGACCTCAGCCTCAGCCTGGAAGTTTCTCTCCCTCCCTGCTCCTGACTATACTCTGGGTAGATGTGGGGAAGACACACCCAGAACCTAAGTCAGCTCCCCTATAAGCGTAAGTGGTTCCAGAAGGCCACAAGGTGGCGCTCCGTACCCTAAACAGGGACAAGATTCAGCTATCTCTAGATCAGGTCTTCCTTCATCTTGAAGGACAGGGAAGCCAACAGCACATGGATAGGCCAGTAGAGTGTCCCACTGAAGGCGTGGCTGAGAGCAGCCGCCTATGACCAGGATGGGGACTCTAGGTGAGTCCCCAGGTCTCAGTTTTCCCATCTAACAAGTGGGGTCTGTAAATTACTGCCTTATGGAACACGAAGTGAGTTTACCCATCCAGTCCACACAGACCTGATGTCACCTGTGTGTACACATGCGTATGTGTCAACAGACAGTTGCCTTTTGTCGGAAATGCACACGTGTGGCTCTGAACTTCTGGGGTTAGTTACAATGTCTTTTTCTTTTCTTTTCTTTTGATGGTGCAGTAACCATTGAGATACCCAGTCCCTCAACCCTCCCCACCTGTTAGAAGCCTTCAGCAGGCCCCATCAACTGTGTATTCTTGCCCTCTTCCAGGTACAGACTACCACTGCGGCTCACCTGTGAGACTACACACGTCCTAGTGGGTCCCTCTGCCTGGTGCTCACCTATAGATGTCCCTACATGGGAGCATAACGCTTATGAATGAGCGGGGGTCCTTTGTAAGTCCCTAAGGGACCACCACTGCCACCCAGCTAAGCCTAATCCCAAAGCCTTCCTCCAGGCTGTGAGACGGCTTCTGCAGACTTCTAATCCCAAAGCCTTCCTCCAGGCTGTGAGACGGCTTCTGCAGACTTCTCCAGCTGCTCTCCCTCAGCCACTTGCTCCCTTTGCTCTAACCATACCGACCCCTTCACCACCCCAGGACCCTTGCACTAGCCGTTCCTCGCCAGGGTCTTGGCACAACAGACACCCCTCAGCCCCACAGTTAGACCTCACCATTGAGACTTTTTAAAAGCACCCCTTGATGTCCTATCTCTAGATCTACGCGTTCTCGGGCATAAGGAACTCATTTGCTATGTCCCCTGCTGTGTCCCATGGCACCATTGAGGACCCAGCACTGCTGAAGGATTTGCACTTGGCTGTACTGTTTTTACTACAGTCATGAGGTCTGGCCACAGGACAAGCTCCCTGGTCCCCCAAGCATCCTCTGCGCCGGCCTCTGAAGGCCGGAGTCTAAACCCCAGCACAGATGCTCTGTGAAGCCCAACGATGACGCCTGCTTCAGGGAACACTTGGGGCCTCTTCACAGCTGGCATCGGCTTTACAGCCCAAGTCAGGTGAGGTGAGTCTGGGGTCTCACCTGAACCATCTCCCTCCTACACTCTGCTTCGAGCATCTCCCACAGTGTCCTCACCCACAGGGTACCCCCCAGCACCCTTGGCCATGGCAAGGCTGTCGGCTCACCTCAGTAGGGAGCTGTAGGCAAAATCGAGGAGGCCTGTCTCGTGCCAGCCACTGGCCGCCTCTGTGGAGTCACCCAGCAGAACTGTCTGGAGGTTGGTGAACATGGCTTCTGTGAGCGTCTGCAGGTCTCTGTGCATCAGCACCCTGAGGACAGCAACAGAGGTTAGCTACTTGCTCCTTAATGTACTCAGAAATAAGACCACGTGCATGTCAAAGGAATGACAGTTACTACTGAGACACTTACAGTGGAGAAACTCAGGCTGGAAAGACAGCGTCAGGACAAGGCCACACAGCCAGTGAGGGGTACAGCTGGGGCTGAACCCTAGCCGGCCCCCTCTGTGTTATGAGCACTGGGGCTGAACCTTAGCCGGCCCCCTCCATGTTATGAGCACTGGGGCTGAACCCTAGCCGGCCCCCTCCATGTTATGAGCTCTAGGCCAGGGCAGTCTGTCCTTGCCTGGTGCACAAATAGGGACAAGGGACCCATGGGCTTCCCACAGGCTTCTGGACAAGGAAGGCCTAGGAAGGATCTAGCCAGCTCCTTCTCTGTGAAATCCAGCAGAGGGCTGCAGCTACAATTTCAGAGGAGACAGAGAGAGACTGGGCCACCGACCCGGTCTCCTCATGTGGACCTGAGTGACACAGTCTAGAGGAGCATGTGACAAGAGTGAGGAGCATATTGGCCACCTCGTGCTGGGCAGAGCCAAGGGCAAGAGGTGCTCTGTCTACACTAAAGCTCCATCTAAGCCACAATTGCCAGTAAGTGCTTGGAGGAGTGTCGACAGGACGGTGACACCTGTGGGACCTAGTGGTGGCAGCAGAACCAGCAGGTGTGGGCCAGACAGTGATTCCAGCTGCGTTTGCTTTTAAACCATCTCTCCTGGACAGTGGCTAGTCTTATGTCAACTTGACACAGGCTAGTGTTATCTGAGAGGAGGGAGCCTCCACTGAGAAACGCCTCCATAAGATCTGGCTGTAGGCAAGCCTATAGGATGTTTTCTTAATTAGTGACTGATGGGGGAGGGCCCAGCCCATTGTGTGCGGGACGATCCCGGGGCTGGTGGTCCTGGGTTCTATAAGAAAACAGGCTAAGCAAGCCTTGAAGAGCAAGTCAGTAAGCAGCACCCCTCCCTGGCCTCTGCATCAGCCCCTGCCTCCAGGTTCCTGCCCTGTTTGAGTTCCTGTCCTGACTTCCCTCAGTGATGAACAGTGATGTGGAGACTGTGATGTGGAAATGTAAGCCAATAAACCCCTTCCTCTCCCAAACTGCTTTGGTCACAGCAATAGAAACCATGACTAAGACAGGGACCAAACACAGCCCACCTGGGATGTGGGGTTGCGGCCCCGGCCCAGGCCCGCCCACAGGCCCATCTCTGTACTCACGGCTTCATCCTGGCCTTCTCCTCGCTGGGGTTAAAATTTGGAAGCTGCAGATCAAAAATCCTCTCCATGAGGAAGATGGCGTAGGGATGGAAGTCCAGCCGTGTCCGTGGCTCCCACACCACCGTATCATAGGAGTGTGGGTCCAGGAGGACAGTGACGTATCTGCCTCCCACCAGCACCTGTTGGAGGAGTGGGTGGCTGGGAAGGGCAGCAGCGCCCTGCACTCAGCCATCTGTGGGCAAGCACTGGCCCGGCGGGCACTGGACAGCAGCATTGTTGACTGTCCCACCGGTTCTGTGAGCTAGGGGCCGCCACTCACCCATCCAGGCTGGGAGAAAGGACACCGTGCCCAAGGTCTCCATGCTGGAAAGTAGCAGGGCTAAGACCAGCCAAAGCCTTCTAAAATCAAAGGTTGTAGCCAGGGCCCATAATCACAGCTACTCAAGAAGCTGAGGCAAGAGGATCCCAAGTTCAAGGTCTGTCTGGATTAGAGTAAGTACAAGGCCAACCCAGGTAATAGTAAGACCCTGCTCCAAATGAAGACAGAGAAGGGGCTGGGGTATGAAAATGAAAAACGGTATGGCATTTGCCTAGCATGTAAGAGGTCCTGAGTTCAGCCCCCCCCAGTACCACAAAGAGGGAGGGGTGGGTGGGTGGCTGCATGGATGGGTGGGTGAGTTAGTAGGTAGGTGGGTGGGTGGGTAGTTGAGTGGATGGGCGGGTAGGTGATGGGTAGGTAGGTGGGTGGATGGATGGATAAAATACAAAAGCACATGTGCAGAGAGTCAAGCAGAATCAGGTGCTGAATGGATAGACGGTGAGCACTGGGCAGGGTGTGGTTGACGGAGATAAAGGCAGGGAGATGAATGGAGGGAAGTTCAGAGATGGAATCCAGAGATGGAAGCTGGTGAATGAGTGGAAGAATGCTGGATGAATTTTGATAAGTGAACAGTGGCTGGAGAGCGGCTAAGAGCACTGGTTACTCTTCCAGAGGACCTGAGTTCAGCTCCCAGCACCCACATGGTGGCTCACAACCATCTGTAACTCCAGCTCCAGGGGATTTTTTCTCTCTGGCCTTTGCAGCCACTCAAACAGATATCAATACACACACACACACACATACACACACACACACACACACGCACAAAGAGAGACAGAGGTATACATAAATAAAAATTAATCTTAAAAAATAGGATAGTTAGATAGACAGACAGACAGATAAGAGATGAAAGACAGACACATGGGGTGAATATACAGGAAGACAGATGGATAAGTGGATGGGTGGAAGGGTAATATTTAATCTTAATTCCCAATCTGATTGCATTGAGAAGCACCTTAAACATGGAAGCCCTGGGTGTGCCTGTTTCCAGACACCCTTAGAGCACAGTACTCTGCTGATGAGTGATGCATGGTATGTTGGACAGACAGACGGATAGTCAGCCTCCCTGGATGGGTGACAGATGGATGGGTCAGTGTGTGGGTAGATGGTGAAGGAGTAGGTGGCCCCAGTGATGGGCCCGTCACACCCCTTCCCTTCTAGAGATACTCACAGTGAATATGTCGCCATGCTTCTCCTTCATCCTGGTCAGGAAGCTGGCAGCATCTCTCCCAAACTCCAAGGCATGGCCCAGCCAGGGGATGCTGCCCAGGTCCAAGGGAGGCTCGCCAGGTCGCCTGCAGAAACCACAGCACTTAGCACCATAAAGCAAGGGAGTGGGCAGAGAGTAGAGGCCAGGGGGAAGTCAGAGGGGGCACCAAACAGACAGCTGGAGGCCTTTCTTCTGAGGAAAAGATTTCCAGCAAGGAGAACAGCAGAACAAAGGCCCTGGGGTTGGTGCTATGGACTCAAAGAACAGTATGGGAGCAGGTGTGGGTGGGCCATCGGGGTAAGGACAAGCATGTGTAGCTGTAGCCAGAGCCAGAGAAGTTCTGGGTGAGACCCCATGGTCTGTGACTTTGTCTCTGAGTGGGGTGGGGTCCTGAGAGGGTCTGTGTTGGTGCAGCCAAGTTCTGTAGACCCATGAGCCTCTGTATAGAGAGTAGACACAAGGGTGAAGCCTGGGGGCCAGGCAGAGTCTACTGCATAGGTGACTCCCTGTGGGAGTAAGCTTCCAGAAACCAGCAGAAGGGCAGAGTTCTCTGAGCCAGTCTGGGCGTGGGTCATTTCACATTCCTTCTCCTGCCCACAGGAAGAGAACAGTATCTCTGACAGGTTGGCAAGGACACAGGCTTCATTACTCCCCTCCGTGGATCCAAACCTGATGGCCCTCTGTGTGTGTCCTAGGGGAAGGCCAAGATGCAGGCTGCCTCCCCTTCCACAAAGGTCATGTCTGTACTGTTCAAAGTCAGGGTTTCCTGGGAAAGGAACAATATAAGGTATCTGCAGGGTCCTACCACAACCCATGGTGGTCACACTGTGTTTGCCCCTCCTTGGCAGGTGTGTGTGTGTGTGTGTGTGTGTGTGTGTGTGTGTGTGTGTGTTGTGAGAAGCCCAGCATGGATGCTGGGAACTGTACCAGGTCCCCTGGGAGAGCAACAAGCACTGTTAACAGGTGAGCTGTCTCTCCAGCCCCAGGGAACAGACTTCAGAACAAGCTTTCTTCCTAATGGGCCAGTCCTGATGGGGAAACGGGGCTTCTCCAGGCAAAGAGATTCAAGTCAGGAAAGGAATAAGGGTCAGTCTCTGTGGCTGGATTCCCTTTTTTTAAAAAAAGACACTGTGCAGACGGGGACACAGGGGTCTCTGTCCTCCACTTGGACTCTGCCCATCCCCACCCCAACCGCTGAGCCCAGGGCCAACTGCTGGCTTGAAATACTACAATAACTAACTACCACACAGACTCACGGTGCCTGTGCTCAGCTTCTATAGGAAGTTACATCGCATCTGCCAACTCCCATGGGAGGAACTGTGAGCTGAGGAAGGCCCTGGGAGCTCCCTGTCTCAGCCAGAATCATCAGAACCACAGGAATGCAGTGAATGAATGAGTGACTGAATAAATGAGTGACCAGTGTATGAATGAATAACTGACATGAGTGAGTGAAGAAATGAGTGACTAGTGAATGAATAAATGATTAACTGAGTGCATAAATGAGTGACTAAATGAATGAATGAGTGGCCGATGTATGAATGAATATGAATGATTTAGTCAGTGAATGAAAGCCAATGAATGATGAATGAATGAGTGAATGGTCATAACTCTGCTCTCACTATGGTTCCTTCACTCACTCACCAAATATTAACTACAAGGCTGACATTAACCTGGATACTGGAGATAGAGCAGAGAACTGGGCAGATGGCTCCAAACCCATTGGGGAGTGAACAAGAGAGACACAGTTCAGCCACGGGGAACAAACAGCCTTGTTAAAAAAAATGCATGAGCTGAAGCCCAGGTGGTGGTGGCGCACACCTTTAGTCCCAGAACTCAGGAGGCAGAGGCGGGCGGATCTCTGTGAGTTCGAGACCAGCCTGCAGTGGGGCATTGTATGCCTGTCATTTACAAAGCTGTAGATCCAGTCCCCAACACTGAAGATAAATATGTATATATATATATATATTTAAAACTGAGCCAGACTCTGTGAGTTCGAGGCCAGTCTGATCTACAGAGTGAGTGCCAGGACAGGATCCAAAGCTACACAGAGAAACCCCGTCTCATAAAGACGAAGGAAAAAAAAAAAGAGCCAGATGGACATGGTGGCCAGGCCTGGAATCCCAGTGCTCAAAAGACTGCAGCAGGAGACTCATGAGTTTGAGACCAGCTGTGGTGAAGACTCTGTTTCAAAAACCAACTATTATTAAAATGTGCAAAGGATTCGAATGGGGTGTTCCCCAAAGAAGACGCCAAAAGGACCAGCGGGCAGTTTCCTGGGCACTAGGTAATCACAATCATAAGGCACTGTTTTGTGCCCACTCCAACGGCTGCAGCACTTTTTTTTTTTAGTTTAAAGGAAAACAAGGGTTTGCAAGGATGTGTAGAAACTGGGACACTCCAGGTGTTGTGCATGCCTTTAATCCCAGCACTCGGGAGGCAGAAGCAGGCAGATCTCTGTGAGTTTGAGGCCAGCCTGGTCTATAAAGCCAGTTCCAGGACAGTCAGAGCTACACAGAGAAATCCTGTCTTGAACAAAACAAAAATAAGTAAATAATAAGAAATTGGAACACACGGACGTACATGATTGCAGCTGTTTTAGGAACTGGCAGTTCCTTAATGGCTGAGCATACTACACGATGAAGCAATTTATCCCCGAGAAATAGAAACATGTTCACACATAAGCAGGCACACTGCCGCTCACAGTAGCACTGCTCATAACAGTCACGGAGCAGAAACAACTAACTGTAGTGTGTCCGTGCTTCGGAATGCTCAGCCCTGAAGCAAGAACGAAGCCATGGCGAACCTTAAAGGCAGAGTGCTAGGTAGAAGCCAGACCCAAGAGCCCGGATTAGAGGTTGCCTGGGGAACAAGGATGGAGAATGGCTGCCAACAGGGGCTCTGTTGGGGGAGAAATGTTCTGGAATTAGGGATGACGACTGTCCAGCTCCTGACTATACTAAAACCCTTGAGTTACAGTTTTAAGTGGTGACTTTTATATGTGAATCACATCCCATCAAATAGAAAGAATAGAACAGCAGCTAGGACAGTGGAAGACGGTGTGGAAGGAGATGATGGGGGAGGGTGCCCCCGGGGAAGGGTCTGAAGGGTGAGAGGACTCCGGAAGGAGGGACAAGAGCCTGCAGGCAGAGGGGGTGGCAAGGGCAAAGGCCGGGGATGGCAGCGCTGGATGGGGTTTCGGGAGCCACGAGGCCCAAGTGGAGAACGTTCAGATGTTGTGGAAGTGAGGACGCTAGAGATGACCTTGAAGCCCTTGGGAGCCTGAAGGTCAGAAAGAGCCTGGCTCCTATGCCAAACGTATTGCGGATCCCGTGGAGGGGTTGAAGCAGGAGTCCCTCAGTGATCCGTTTTTTATACAGGGCAGCAGTAGAGAGGGACCTGGAAGGAGGGCGGGGCCAGGAGATTCCGGGGACTGTCCAAGAGGAAGATCTGGCATCAGCTCCCGCACGCCCAGGGTGAGGGCCTTTGGTTCACATGCAGCAATTCAGGAGAGCACAGGCTTCCCCTACCCTTCTCCCCCTGCCCTCCGCGCCTCCATCAAGCTGTCCCTAGAGAGTGGGGGCCAGAGGTGTACGGGACAAGATGGCCAAGGCTGGACAAACTGAAGCAGACCCAGAGGCAATGTCGGGGGGCACAGGGATGACTTGCCCCCAGCCCCTCAGCCTTCCCTCACTGGACTGCTTCTGAGTCACTGGCAAGCCCGGCCTCTCTGGGCTCAGAGGAGAACAACAAAGCCAGCATGTCTCGATGCCAGAGGCTTCTTCCTTCCCAGACCCTTTACAGCCCCAGGCTAGGAGGCTCTTCTGTCACGCAAGGGAACGGTGTGCACCTGCCCCTACCAGCCCAGGCCCAAGTCCGTCTGGGATCAAGACCCAGAGAAGTGGGTTGTGCAAGGGAGGCCGGAAGGCCAGTGGTCACCAACCAGACTTGGACACTGTACAGCTTCAAATCCCAGCTGTGCTTCCTGTCAGCTTATGACTTAGCTGTTCGCTGCCTCAGTTTCCTGGTCTGTAGAATGGGAAGAGCTACCTCGTGAATACTGTCCATCTGATGAGGGTGAAAGCGGTGAGATCGCCTGACACCTGGCAGCCAGGAGCAGCTGGGAGAAGGACCCAGAAGCCGCCTGAGCATCCTTTCCTGAGCAAAGGCCCCATTTGAGCTACCACCCATCATACTGGTCAGTGCGGCCTTGCTGGGTAGTAGCAGCTGGTATTCAGAGCCCGGAGCTCAGTGGCTCCTCCCCCGACACGATGAGGACCACAGGGTCCGCTTTACAGGGAAGAAAACTGAGGCATGGAGAGACTGAGGCCTTTGCCTGGAGGTTCCCTATGGGAGTGCTGGGTTTCCATGAGGTACCCCCACTTTACAGATGAGGAATTGTCGCCTGCGATTGTCCTTAGGCCACCTTCGGGGCTAGAGGGGCTTCTTCCTGCAGGCTGAATCCTACAGTGGAGATGGTGCATTGGACCGGGTTTTATTTCTGGCCCTGCCGTTCTTCCCACAAAGAAACCCAAGAAGGCACAGACAAAGGCAGGAAGCAGGAGCCTGGGCTCCCAGCCCCTCAGGCAGCCAGCGGCTCCCCTGCACTGGACCCCAAGCCAATCCAAGCCCAGGCCACATTCCAGAGTGACTCAGCCTGTGGACAGCTGGGGCGAAGGAGGTTCTATTTCAGAGCCTGTGGTCTCCCAAGGCTAATTGACACTCTCACTCTTTTGAGGCACTGCCAGGCCAGACGTGGGGGGAGGGAAGTACTGGAGGCTTGGCCCTCCCCTCCTGGGTTCCACGTTCAGATACCAAGATGTCCCTTTGGTCTCTCCTGGATTGCTGATCCTACCAGGTAGGGACTTCTAGATTCTGATGGGTCCTCACTCACAAACCCCGTAGCCAGCTCTGCCACAGCCATTGTGAACCAGGGAAGGGAGCCTGTGGTGACTGTCCCTCCCACCAAGGTGACCTCAGCTTGAGGATGGTGTCTTCACTGGGTGGCATATTCCAACAGAGCAGGGCACCTAGCATTCACCCTAACCCTGGAAACTGTCCCTGGAACATAGTAGGTACATAAAGACT